CACACACTCTGTTTTTTTTTTTGATGTGTTTGCTAAATGTGGTTGATCATTGTGTTTCAGACTTTCTTCTTCATGGTCTTATCTTTTAAATGTATATCAAGAATAAGTTTATGTCCTTTCTAATTAATTACTTTTTGTCGTCTTCTTAATATTTTGAAAATAAATAAATTATTTCTGCTTCTTGAATTCTCTAACCAAATATTATCCCGATTTTCGTGTTAAATGCGTAATCATTTTGTATTTATTTGTTAAAACGGGAGAGAAAACTGGGTCAAAGCAAACGATTAATCCCTTATAGTCTTCTTATTTAGCAAATCCCTTATAATCTTTTTTTTTTTAACAAGCCCTTATAATCTTATAAACAACGTTTTTGGGTGGTAGGTGTAGAAAATTAGGTAAAACAAATGAAAAATCAACGGAAACTTTAGACACATCACTACCAAATAAGATTTGATTGAAAAAACTACTTGTAGATTATCACATACTAGTATATGGTTATGTTCTCGAGCATCAGTCTAGTCAAGATGGTTTAATTTTAGAAAAATCTTAAAGAAATATCCAGTGTTGGTGATTCGTTGTTCATGCATGATTTGGTTGGTTGAGAGTTGAAAACTACAAAATCTCACGAGGATGACTCATTCTTCGTGATTGTAATTAAATACTAATCACAAAAATTCGACGCTACTAATAATTTATTAAAAATTATTGAAAGGTGTGCATGATTATGCAATATCTTGTTACATGGCTTGGACCATCCCATTTTCGTATATATAGTGGGACAATAACCATTCATGTGCCACTTTTTCATATGGACAACAAAATTTGCGTGGACATATCGTAATTCCCCAATTAAATCTACACCGCAAACATCAATACCCATGCTTTTGAATCCCTTTTTAAAATCTCAAACCAATTATAGAAAATCTTATGTATTTAATTAACAAAAATAAAACGTTTGCATGCGAACGAAAATGGTTTAATTTGTGATGATTGTTATAAAAAATCAAGAAAAAGGGGCGAAAGGACTTTCCATAAAAAAATATCAAGCCATTCAATAATTTTAATGTCACTTTTTTATTTAATCCGATTTACTCTAAAAAGAAGATATCATTAGAAAAGTTCGAACTGGGGTTGTTAAGTAAGAAACACAAAACCCAACCACTACCCTATCACAACAATTTTGTACATAATGCGCTTTTCTTAGTAATAAACATTGATGACTTTTAAAATCATTTTCATAAAATTATAATATTAAACTCCAAAATCTAAACCGTAATCTCTAAACCTAAACCTTACCTCAAAATCTAAACCCTAATTTTACAATAGTTAATCCAAACCCATAATCCAAACTCTACCCCAAAATCTATACCTTAATTGCACAATAGTTAACCCAAATCCTAATCTCAAAACTCTACCCCAAAATCTATACCCTAATTTCACAATAGTTAACCCAAACCCTAAACTCAACCATACCCCAAAATCTATATCATAATTTCACAATAGTTAACCCAAACCCTATCCCAAAATATATATAATAATTTTACAATAGTTAATTCAAATCCAAACTCAAACCCTATCATAAAATCTATACCCTAGTTTTACAATAGTTAACCCAAATCCTACCCAATTTAATTATAAAATATAAAAAATTAATAATTGTTTTCGACAAAAAATATAATTAATTTTTAAAGAAGTGGCATTCTATATCAATTTTCAATAGAAAATGACATTGATTAAAAAAAAAAAAAAAGAGAAGTCTTATCGTAACGGAATATCTTATACCGATTTCATTAATTTGTTTATGATTTATTTCGCTTTAAAACAAGATCAACGAAACATATTTTGGTTAGATCGA